ATAGGAGTTTCACTCACTTTTTAATTGTGGTGTTTGTTTTCTTATTGTTGGCTTCAGAGCATACTTTGTATATTCTGAATGTCAGTCATTGTCAGGTCTATGATTTGCAAATATTTTCTCCTCCTCTATTGCTCATATTTTATCTTCTTAACAGTGTCATCAGCAAAGCGAAAGTTTTAAAAATTTAATAAACTCCAACTTATCAGTCTTATCTTTTGTAGATTTTGCTTTCGATATTAAATGTATGAACTATTTGCTTAGCTCTAGGACCCAAAGGTTTTCTCTTGTGTTTTCTTCTAAATGTTTTATAGAGCTTTCAAATGTTTTATAGATATATGATCTATATTTATGTAAGACATTAAGGTCAAGGTTTTTGTTACAACTTTTTTTTTAAAAAAGATTATTTTCTCTATTGAATTGTACTTGGACTTTTGTCAAATATCAATTTGTCATATTTGTGAGTCTATTTCTGTTCTGTCTCTTCTCTTTCATTGACCTATTAATATATACATATCTCATGACAGTACAATGCTATATAAAATACTGTAACTTTATAGTAAGTCTTAAAATTGGGTAGGGTGGTTATGTTACTCTTCTTTTTAAAAGAAGAATAAAAAATTTAAAAAATTTTTTTGGTAGTCCTAGTTTCTTGCCCTTTCCATAAGAGAATGATCTTATTGATCTACAAAAATTCTTGCTGAAAATTAGAATTAAAAATTTAATTCTAATTTTATCCATAGATCAGTATTTAGGGAATTGACATTATTCCTATGTTGAGTGTCCAATCCATGAATTAGTGTGTCTTCAATTATTTAGGTTTTTGAGATCTTTTGTAAGCATTTTGTAGTTTTTATCATATAGGTACTATATGTATTTTGTTAGATTTCTACCAGGGTTTTTTTTTTCATTTTGGGGAGTTATTGTAAATGATATTTATACATTTGGTTTCTGTTTATTGCTAGTATATGTATATATATATGTATGTATATATATATGATTAATTTTGCACATTCATATATTCATAATTTTGCTAAACCCATCTATTAGTTGTAATGATTTAAAAAAACAGATTTGTTGGGTTTTCTATGTAAAACATCATGTTTGAAAAACAACGATAGTTTTGTTTCTTTCTTCCCAGCCTGTGAGCTTCTTCTGTTCCTTCTGTTCACGGCACTGGCTAGTGCTCCCAATAGTGCTGGGCAGCAAGTAGCACCATTGGACACTCTGGATCTGCCCCAGGTCTCTGGAGGAAGGCATTCACTCTCTCTAGCTTCCATGTGACATTAATTTTTTAAGGCACCTTTGACCAGGTCACTGAAATTCCCTCCTATTCTAAGTTTTCTAAGCATTTAGATTGTGTTAATGTTACACTTAATTGAAAGCTTTTTCTCCATCAATTTCACTCCTAAGAGAAAGCTCACTTGTTCAAGGTGTATTATTTTCCTTTTTGCCTATAGCTGGATTTGATTTTCTATTTTGTTGACGTTTTAGCACCTACATTTATGAGGTATATTGGCTGGTAGTGTTCTTGTCCTGTATTATCTCTGAGTGACTTTGATATCAGGTTACTGCTGGCCTCATAGAATGAGTTAGAACATGTTTGCCTCCTTTTCTATTTTCTGAGAAAGATTATGTACAATCAGTGTCATTTCATTTTAGATTTTTTTTTTTTTTGGTTGAATTGACCAGTGAAACCACCTGGGCTTAAAGATTTATTTGGGTGACTATTTTAAATACAAATTCATTTCCTTCATGGTTAGGACTATTCTGGTTAACCTTTCATTTGGAGCACGTTCTGATTCGTGGCTTAGAGAAATTAGGCCGTTGAATCTACTTCATCAGTTGTTTGCAGGAGTTGCTTATTATTCTCTTAAGGTCTGCCTGCACAACAGTGTCAAGCTCTGTCATTCGTGGTACTGGTGATTTGTGATTCCTCTTTTCTCTTTGTTCATTCTCTCCAGAGTTTATCAAATTTATGGAGCTTTAAAAATAACTGGATTTTGCTTACATCACTTTGCTCTATTGTTTTTCTTTTTTTCATTTTGATATCTGCTTTTTATGGTCTCTTCTTGTTTGCTTTGTTTTTATTTTGCTCTTATTTTCTCCGAGTCACAGCATATTTATTTCAACTTCTTTTATAACATACACATTTAATGCTGTGAATTTTCCTCTAAGCACCGCTTTTGCTGTGCTTCCCAAATTTTGATATCTTATATTTTCATTTTCAACTCAAAATACTTTCTAATTTTCCTTGAGACCTTTTGTTTGACATATAGATTATTTAGAATTAAGTTGTTTTGTTTCCAGTTGTTTGGAAAATTCCCTGTTATTATCCTGTGACTGATTTGGGGCCTTGTTCTGTTATGGATAGAGAAATTTCCTTGTCCCATCTCAGTTAAAAAAGAAAATGTTCAGGTTTGTTTTCCATCTCAGAATGCACACTGTCTTGTAGGTGATTCCACTTGAGAAGCATGTACATTCTCTGTTGTGGGGGGAATATTCTGTAAATGTCGGTTCTTCTGTAACAGTGGTTCTCAGCTGGGGTGGTCTTGTCCCTTTCTCCTTTCCCCCGTGGGACTCTTGCCAATGTCTGGAGACATTTTTAAGTGTCACATCTTGAAAGAAAGATGCTGCTGGCATCTAATGAGCAAAGGCAGAGATACTGCTAAAGAATTCACGATGGCTCCCCCACAAAAAATAATTAACTGCTCCAAAATGAATAGTTGTGAGGTTGGGAAGTCCTGTTTTATATCAGTACTTATTTTCTGTTTGCTCTTCAGTTAATGAAAGAGAACCATTGAAGTTCCCGACTGTTATTGTGGTATTCTCTAAATCTCCTTCCTGTTGTGTCATTTTGCTTCACGTTTTTATTAGGTTCATACACATTTAAGATTGTCTTATCTTCTTAGTGAATCAACAATTTTTATCTTTTGTTGTATGTAATGCCCCTCATTATCTGTTGTAATTTTCTTTGGAATCAACTTTGTCTGATATTAACGTTAATATAGCTACTTCAGCTTTCTTTGGGCCAGTATTATTATGATTTGTCTTTTCTTATCCCTTTACTTTTTTTTATTACTGTCAAATGATCCTTTTTATTGAAATATTTTCCTCTGTAGTTCGTAACCAGCTGGGTGTTCTACAGCTCCATTGTGGATACCATCTGTGAAGTTCTAAGAGTAGAGGACATCAACCCTGCAGACCCAGTGTGGAAGTCCCTCATTTCCCAAAGGGTTCCCAGAGTTCTCCAGCTAAATGTCAGTGCTCATCTGTTAGGCAGTGCTGATGGTCACATCCAAAGTGATTTCCACTTTGCTGTTTCTCTGCTTCTTTCTCCCTTGAGGGCCTTAATGACCAGAGAAGAGGTGGAATGCATTCCTGCAGGGGGGGCCTGGGTGTTGTGACTGGTCAGTTTTGCTGTAGAACTCAGGCCTCTGGACCAGTTGTTTACTTGGTGAATTCACCACCAATCTCTTTTTGGAAGAAAGAACTAGGGGACTGGTCTTGGGGTCCAGGTGGATCTTGTACCCATGTTTCCTCCCAGTGTACTTTGGTTACATGACTTTCATCTTGTTGAATCTGGATGATATGGATATGTTGGATATAGGATGATGGAAGATAGTTGGCCTTGGCTCCTTTGAGCTGAAAGCCCAAAGCTCATCCTTTCAATTTTAATGTATGTACATTATTATGTTTAAAGTGAGTTGTCTCAGCAGTCTCTCTCTCTCTCTCTCTCTCTCTCTCTCTCTCTCTCTCTCACACACACACACACACACACACACACACACACACACACACACATACACACACACACACATTTATTTCATTACTGAACATGCAGATAATATATTTATTTTCTTCTGGGCTTTTAGTTAGAATAGTGCATGCTTACATGCAAGTACTGGCTAGGGTGACCAAACGAATTACCACGCAAAGGAGGGCTCTTGAGAGCAAAGGAGGAAACTGACAAATGCCAAGACAGATGGACCCTGTAAAATGCATCCTAAAGAGCACTTCAGCTGGGGACGAACAACCAACAGTGGCTGGAACCACAGCTGGGAGAAACCAGCGACAATGGTCTTGGCCTTGGAGGATTCGAAGAGGGGATGCGTGCAGTCCCTAAGGTTGGTGTGGTTCAGCCACTCAGGATCTGGTTCCCACGTCCAAAGGGGTTTCCTCGGGCATACTCTCTTCTCATGCTCACAACCATTCTGCGAGGAGGAGTTATTGTCCTCATTCACAGATAAGGGAGCAAAGGCCCAGAGAGTGAATGCAGAAGGTCCAAGATTGGTATATTCAGAATTTGGTGGAGGTGACACTGCTCTTTGCCCTTTCTGATTCCACACACTAACCTGGATGCTGTAAGCCACGTGCTGGATATAGACTTTGGTGGCGATGGAGTGGGGCTCAAGTCCCAGTTCTGGGCTGTTGAGCTCTGTGGCCTTCGTTGCCCTGTATGATCACGGTGTGGTTGTGGAGCAGCGGCTTCAGTGTTTGCAGCAACGTCACTACCCTGCTCTGTACCAGATGTTTTCTCTGTGTGTCCCACTCGCACCTCACCCCAACCCCACAGTAGGCACTGTTACAAACCATGCTCTGCAAATGACAGAGACAGCCCGAAAGGGACCAGAAAATTGCCCACCATGTGGGAAAAACACAGCAAATAATCTTTCATTTCTGTTTTGACCGTGGGTCAGACCAGTGTGCAGGGCTGGAGTTCTTCTGCTTCTCTGTATTATTCAGGAAGGTCTGAGGAGGTGATTCCTTCTTAAAAATGTGCCTGCTTTTCCAGTTTCCCAAAGGCTCAAGGATTGCTTTTTATGTAATGTCGATTGATTTTTAAAATGTGTATTGTTTTTGATGTGGCCAGAGTCCCTCCCACTTTTTGAAACCGTTGTCCCATGCAGTGGTTGTGGCCATGCATGAGAAACAGCAGGTGGTGCCAGATGACAGATGGTGCGGGAGCCGTCCCGGTGGGAGGGGGCGCGATTGGAGCAGGCAGGCAGCTGCCAGATCTTCCCCGCTCGCTGGCGCCTCGCTCGCTCGCAGAAGCTCGGATCCAGACGCACGCAAGGCGCTGTCCTTCAGCACCACGGCTCGAGCTGGGGCGGGAGGACTCCTGTTTGTCCTCCTCCTCAAATTGGCTTGAATCTGCTCTGACCCCAAGAGTGCAGCACAGTAAGTAGGCATTTGTTTTTGTTGAAACCACTCCCCAATACCCTCTAAATCCTACCACCCGGTCCTCCCCACAGCAGCCTCGTTTTGTGGGGTAACATTCCATCAGCAGGATTGACAAGAGGAATTCAGTTGTGCTTGGCTTTTGAGGGTGGGGTACAAGCACTGTTTGACTTCCAAGGGAGCTGGAGAGGAATAAATGCGGGTTGTTTATTTAGTTGGCAATCTTGCAATATGGGGGCCGCTAACTTTCCATGGAACCAAAAAAAAAAAAAATGGCCCTCCGCTATTGAGGAAATGGAGGCATCCATGGCTGAATAACAGGATCAGCTCAAGCCAGCCTCTTTTTGTTTTATGAAATTGAACGTCATGTGCAGTCTACGTGTGATGTGAAGGGTACACCTGGAGACATTGAGTGAATGCATTGTCTTTTTGGGGGGGGGGGTTTGCTGAAGGAAAGCTATGTAATGAAATAGCAACCAGGGTGGCGAGCTGAAATTTATCATACTGCAGGGGGACCCAGAATAATGGGATTTCGTTCTGCACTAAGAATAAGCTTTTCTCTGGGGTTATATGGATATTTCAGCTGTAGTGTTTGGGTATTTTTTAAGCTTGTATTTTTTTATGTAGGTCTGGGATTTTCCTTGTTTCCCCCAATTTGAGGGCTATTGAGCCCTGTGGGCAGGTGGCATGTTCTGATGATTAAAGAAGTTTTACTGGACAATGGGGATCATGTCAGGAAATCTAGCGGAAGATCAATGACTGATCACTAGATTGAAAGCCGCCCAAGTGGAGCTGTTGAGGACAGCGCAGTTTTCTCTGTCGCCAGCCCTCTCTCCCTGCCTCACCTCCTGCTGTAACCAGAACCCACTGCTTGCCTTAGGTCTGGGAAGAAAGGCGTGAGGATGGTGAAGCTGAACAGTAACCCTGGGGAGAAGGGCACCAAGCCACCTTCGGTGGAGGATGGCTTCCAGACCGTCCCCCTCATCACCCCCTTGGAGGTCAATCACTTACAGCTGCCTGCGCCGGAGAAGGTAAACGAGGTGCTCTTCCCCTCATCATCCCCCAGCACCCCTATCCCAGGAAATAAAATGGCACGCAATCCCATCCCAATCCCTTTCTTTCCCCCATCAGCCATGGATGCCCCCTTTCTTGTAAAACGTAGCTATTTTCTCCAGAGACCAGACATCTCTTGTATTATTTCAGATTTATGGTAAGTGTTTCTTCATTTTTTGGTTTGTGTCTATATGCTTGGGCAAGCAAATCAGGCTTTCCTTGTTAAAGTTTTGTCACAGCCGATGAATACAAATAAGCTTCTAGATAGTGACAGAGGAAAAACCTGCCTTGATTATTTTGGGAGGTGTTTCAAGAATTAGCTGGTGTACATTTGAAGACAGAGAATTGGATTCAGTCCAACAAGCATTCAGTTTGCACCTGCTAAGGCCCTGTTCCCTATCTAGGAGTTGGTTATAAAAAGAAAAAAATTACAGAACACTTATTCAGTATGACAAATGAAAGTAATGTGTCATGGTGAATGCTGTACCTGAACATCACAAAGGCTCTGAGAGTGCATGGGTGGAACAAGCTAAATTCTGTTGAAGTGGGAAGAGGCTGGGGAGGGCTTGGGGATAGGACTGGGGGACAAGTTAGATAAGCTACAGAGGACATTTGGATTGGGACTTTAAAGGTGAGTAAGAACCTTCCAGGAAGACTATGGAGGGAGAGGCATTTGAGGCCAGCAGCACACATGTGCAAAGTGTGGGGAGCCTTGGGGACAGCATGCCTGGAGCAGAATGTCTCCGAGAGAGGCGTGGCTGGGGTGAGTGATGGCTGATGGCACATCTCCTGACATGGGAGTGGCCCATGAAGAATGGAGGTGGGCATTCATACAAAGGCGAGGGGTTGTCATCCCATGGGCACAGATGGGAGAAACAGTCATTCACTGCCCACCTGAGAGTGCTTGGGGTTTATAATTTGAGTTTTGGGCCATCATATGAGAGATTTGGAGGCAAAGGATGAAGAGTGAACAATGGATCATTCCATCTGTTTGATTTTTCTCATTGGCATCTCCAGGAGGGCACTGTGCGTCTTACCACTTGGCTCCATCCAATCCAGAGAGGAGGAGCCAAAGCTAGATAAAGAGCCTGCTGATTGGCTGGGGTTGAGTCATTTGTTTTGAAAGTGCAGAGGTAGTCAGTAGGAGATGGTGCTGGAGTGGGGTGGGGGGCAGACATGAGGATTTCTTGGGCCATTCTCAGAAACTGATAAAGCCTTTAAAAATAAATTTTGAACAAGAAGTTAGCACTCAAAATGTGAAGAGACGGGATTAATTTAGTCCTTGCTACATGCACATCAGATCTTCTCAGTTTTTTTTAAACATATCAGAATCATCAGATATTTTAAACCCCCTAATATCTAGACCACACCCTAGAACAATTTTATCAGAATCTCTGGGGTGAGACTCAGTGTCCATGTTAGTGAAATCTCCCTAAGACACTTCTATGTGCAGCTAAGGTTGAGAGTCGCTGTTTTAGATGTGCAGCAGCCCTGGGAATCAGGAATCATGCACTCTCATTTATAGGAACGTTTGGTGAGTTATCCAAGTTCACAGAAGGAGCCATGGAAGTGCTGGAATTGGAAGCCAGATATAAGTGGACCTGGGGAAGGAGGAGGGGAGTGTTTTCCTGGGGTTCTGTGAGGCTCACAGCTACAGCCTGCAGACCTGCGTTTCCTGGCAGTTGTGCAGAGAGAAGGGATTGTGATGGGGTCACTTTTCTTAACCTTGCACAAGCCTGCAGGTCATTCAGAGCTCACTGTGGTCTCTTTCCCCCTTACTCTTCCCATCCTGGTACTTTCTTTCCTCAGTGAAGGAGGAGACAGTCCTGATAAGCACTGAGTATTTAGTCCAGACATATCAGAAAGTTGTCCCAAAGGATGGCCAATAAATAAGCACCTTATCCCCACGATGGACATGCGTGTTTGTAAAAGGAAGCCATGAATCCTGAGACATGCAGTGGGTCCCAGTTTGCCTGCAAATCCCCACAGGGGCACATCCCTGCAGGGCCATACCACAGGCTCCCTCTGATGTTTATGACAATGTTTTTGCTGGGTGGACCTCAGGTTCCTCAAGTGAGCAGGATCCTGCCTACCTCACCATGGTCAGAATGAAGTTAGATGTGGTCTCACTCATAAAGCATCCGGCACAAAACTAACTATAAAAGAAAAATAGTTACAGTCATCAAGTACTTTTTAAATGTTAGAGGCTGTCTTCAGTCATCTGTAACACACACACATACACACACACACACACATTTTTCTTCCATTTTCTCAATAGCTTAATAGAATATTGGAGTTGCAACTTTGATTTTTTTTTTTTTTGTACTGGGGCTGAATCCAAGGCTTTGTACATGCAAGCAAGTACTAGATCACCAAGCGACAGTCCCAGCCCTTTGATTCACATTTTAAAAACGGAAACACAGAGCAGTAATGTAACTTCCCAAAGCAAAGAGCTGGTAAAGGCATCTTGGATGTAGAATCTGGAAAATGTTGTTCCAGAACCTTCCACTTCCACAGGAATGAGGAACAAGCTGGCCTGGGATTCCATAGATTTTGTCCCTGTCTCAAATTCAGTCATTCACCAGAGAGTGACTTGGTTTTCCTCCCACAGGTCTCTGTCTTCTCTGAGTGGGGAACTCTATTAACAGTTTTGTGTGCTAATATTTAGAGTTTATGATATTTACAAGAGCAAACATGCCTTCCCCCTGACATTAGGAAAAATGTATTAAAAGTGAATTCCCATGAAGAAGCCAAAGCTCTCTAAATGCTTAGGGTAGTATTGTGGTTACCCGTGTCTGAACCTCAAGTGGGATCACATCTTTTCTCCACCTTTCGCCAGCCTACCTTGACTAAGGACTGGAGTGGATTTCCCAAACTACACAGCCTCAGCCTCTCTGAGTGTGAGACAGGGAGGTAATGTTAAGACTCACCTCCCAGGGATGTGGAGGAGGTGACGTAAGCCCCAGTGTGGTTTTAACCCTTTGATTAGATCCCAGTCATATGGTAACTATTTGAAGCTGAAATGTTTTGGGGGATTCAACATTGAAGTTATTGAGTCCAGTGTTAAATCAAGGTTTTTCTCTTTGGAAAATGTAAAATATGGAATGAGCTTGGTGTATAAAACTCAAAATTATCTTTGGATTCATTCACTAAATAATCTCGAGTAGCATGGAGTGTGAACATCAGGAGGAAATAAAATTGGGAGGCTCAACAGAGAGAATGAGGTCTTTAGCCTGTTTTCTCTTACTATAACACAATACCTGAGGCTTGGAACTTCATAAAGAAAAGAGGCTTATTTAGCTTACTAGCTCACTGTTTTGGGGTTGGAAGTTCAAACAGCATGGTGCCAGCTGTGACTGTGTCACAACTTGTTGGATGGCATCATGGTGGTCACATGTGTGAGGGAACATCACAGAGAGAAAGCAGGAGAGATCCAGGAACCAGATGTACTCACAACTCTCTCAGGAGTTAACTGGGGCCCAGGAGAACTACCTTCATCCCTTCTGCTGGCAGCACCTCCTGACCTGGCCTTTCACCAGGGCCCACCTCTTAGAGACCTTGCCACTGGCCACCTGGCTGTGCTGAGTTCTCAGTTTCCATCACATGCGTCTTTTGGGATACCCTTGACCATATCCAGACCATAGCAATGGGCTTGTCTGGGCCGAGCTGGCCTCTGCTGTCTGGCTTTCAGTTCATCTCCTCAGCGGCTGTGTGGAGTAGCTTCAGGCACCCATTCTGCTGGTGGGGACACCAGGCCCAGGTCGGTGCAGCAACTGTCAGAGTGGGTGGCCCGGGGAAGCCCAGCACACCAGGCACTCCAGCAGTCTCCTTTGTGATGCTGAGAAGCATGTCCATGGCCACTGCTCCTCCTGAGCTCCCTCCCAGGAAGGCTCCTGGGTCCACAGGTGGGGCCTGGGTGGTTCCCCAGAGACGACACCCCCACCTCCAGGGTTCTTTCTTGTCCAGTGCCCACCACTGTCCTCTGCCTCATGGGTGGTCCCTGCCCCTTCTCTCTGCACTGCCCTGGGCCTCCCCAGAGCTGTGGCCAGTTGATCTCCCTTGGAACCCCTTGCAGTCCCTCTTTACCACATGATGTCGCCCTCAAGCCCTTACCTTACCAGCCCGCCACCACCTCTCTGCCAGCGCTCCTTCCCTCTGTTCCTGCTCCACACCTAGAACTCAGCGTGCCACGGCCTCTCGCACAGCGCTTCTCAACAGCGTCGCTTTGTCTCCAGGGGGGACAGGTGCGGTTGTCAGAACTGGAGGGGTGATTCTCCTGGCAGCACTGAGTAGAGGCCCAGGAATGCTGCTTAATATCCTGCAGAGCACATGGTGGCTCGCCCTGTGCCCCACAGAATTATCCTGCCCCAAATGCCAACCATCCCGAGGGCTGATAAACCCTTTCCTAGAGTTGTCCGGAGTGTCCCTGTTCTGTGCCTCCTCCTCCTGGAGCACGCCCCTCCTTCTGGGTGGAATGCGCCTCTCACCCTTACTCTACCCGTAAGACAGAAGCTCTCCTGGTGCCCGGCTCTGACCACCCATGAGTACGGCCATGGCTCCATGTAGCGCTCTTATAGCCACCCAGCCACCCGTCCCCTCCACCTCCACCCGTCAGTCACTTGCTCCTCTAGCCATCCAGCTGTCCACCCACCCACCCAGTCACGCAGTCAGAAAACCTTGTTGTGTGCTTTCTTCGCACCAAGCGCTGTGCTAGGCCACATGTGTGCAGCCACGAAAGCGTCAGGGAGCTCCGAGTCTGGAGGGAGAGAGGGACTCTAAACAAGCCATCGCACAAATGGAAGTGCAGATGCAGACTGTAGAAGGGCCATAAAGGATAAGGTGCTTCCTGGAAGAGGGAGTAAAGCTGAGAGGGCTGATTGTGTAGGAGGGTGGCTGGGAGCTCTGCGGTTCCTTGTGGAATCCCGGCTGAGACCCTGCACGGGGAGTCGGGGTAGGGGGACCAGCGAGCAGCAGTCAC